CAAGATTGAACTTTTTATGAACAAAACTATCGATACCTGATGAAATCCAGGCTCATGAGTTAATGTAACTCCAAGTTCTGTCAAACAGGCATGAATTCTGCCATCACTGCCGTACAGATGAGGGTATCGATCGATGCAAGAATCTAAATGTTTCGCCAAAACTTTAGCCAGGGGATAACTTATAGCAAAACCAGCTCCTCCAAAAGCCATATCGAAAGAGAAAACCTTATTCTGCTGATAATTTTCTGAATTTGTCCCGATGTAATACCATAAGCCATGATCATATTTCGACAGGGTCTTGACCAAATTTTCAGGAAAGAAAACTGTATCATCATCTCCAAAAACAAACCATCTAACATCAGAGTGGTTCAGTGCCACGGTTTCTGATACCACTCGAGCTACGCGAATCGCTGACCTTCGACCATTCCTGAAGGTGTATCTGAATCTGGAAGTGTCACCAGAAATGCATATTGGAGGCAGAGAAATTTGATCATTTTCAGAAGATGTAGAATTTGGTGGCTTTTCTTCCAGAAAAACACATCCCTTCATTATCTGAGGTCTCCACCATAGCCTGACATATTCTTTTCTTTTGGACCATGATCTTTCATTAGAGGCAATCCCAAATACAATATGTTCAAGGGATGTTGTGGAGGATAAATCCTGTAGAGAACCTGATAAATTCAGGTTTTTTGAGTTTGGGAAAAAGAGAAATGAGAACAGGAGATAGAGTAGAAACAGAAAACAGGAGATTATCATGAGATTTACAAGCCTTGATGGATGGTGGGATTTTGAATTTGTCTGAAAACTTTTCATATTTTGGATGAACAAATTAAGAAAAAAAAAAGAGCTAAATCTATCACTATGCTTATTATGCTTATTTATACAAGGGGTTTAGAGGAGATTTCCTAAATATGGGGCGCTTTTATAAACCTGTAAGGTTGATTAGAAAAAGTAAGAAAGGGTTTTGAGGTTTAAAGCAACTCGTTTTGCAATTAAATATCTAAGGAGGCAATTAAGGAGAGATTAATTAAGTTTTGAAATGGTAATAATAAAGCATTAAATGAAACAGATCAACCGAAACTTTAACAGGTCATCTTTCCTTTTTTTTTTTTCTGTGCGTTACATTTTGTTAAAATTTAAAATTATTTCTTTTTTCTTGACTTGTTGCTTTGTGCTACAGTTAATTAGAGAAGTAATTGTCTAAAAATAATTAGATAAACAATAAATGAATAATAAAAAGCACGTTTCTCTTTTGTTTTAGTTTTGTGTCACCATCAACTCTTTAATCTGTCCATTACAGATGTACCAACTAAAAATCATTTCGCATCAATTGATGCTTTAGTTTTTGTAATCTATCACAATAACAATTTAAAACTAGGATATACTTTTTTGATTGATTTAGCACATTCGATTTCACCGTCTACATGGTCCCTCCCTCCCAATATTAGAATAGTGTTTTGAAAATCCAACTTTTTATGACGACGTAGAAATCATCATATCTAGATAAGAAAATACTAGTGAATTTATATATCAGAGTAGTGTTTTGAAAATCCAACTTTTTATGACGACGCAGAAATCATCATATCTAGATAAGAAAATATTAGTGAATTTATATATATCTTTTGAATTCACAATATTTTCTTGTTAAATGTGTATTGTAATTTTAAAATGTTACTTTTTCAAATGACAAAATTAGAAAGCACTGTTAAATTTGAAACGATAACTCTTATTTTAAAATATTAATAAAGTTAAAAAAATAATATTAACAATGAAACGGAGGGGGATAATAAACTACTAATCTATGAATGGGAAAAGCAAGAAACCAAAAAATTTTCAATGTTGCTTCATGGGCTCAACTGCCGTTCCAAATCCCTATACAATGTTTGAATGCCTCAGGGAATTAGGTCAAACCACTTTGATAAATCTTGAAGTTACTAAGCTAATATTATTACAACTTGGAAATTAGGCCCAAAGAATAATAATCTAAAGAAGAAAAGTAGTAGGTGCTTGGACCAAGGAAGGGAGCACCAATTGCTCCGGTGACACGTAAATGGAAATCAGGCTTTGGTTGCCAACTTTTGCGGCTAAATCCACATGCATATTGGTTTAGTCTAAAATTGAAAAGGGTTAGAACGGTTGGAGTTCTCTTTTGCCTTCACGTGGCAAGAATAACTTTTTCAGATTTGACTTTGTGTTGATTTGGAGACCTAAAAGATTAGGTGTATCACCAATGAAGCATTGGGATTTTAGCCACCGGTCAATTTTCTTTCGGTACATTATTCTAATTGTCCAACTTGATTTTCTCTGGAAGAACTGTATACGGGCTGGATTCATTGAAATAGAAGATACAGCCATTTTACGCAGCCCTTTCAGACAGCGGCACTGATTGTTACGCACTACATTAGAATCCAGCAAATTAGCTGGCACCCATTAAGCTTTTGCAACAATAGAGTTTTGGTGAGTCAATTTTTAAAAACAATATGTATTTATTCACTGAACTATCAACAGGCAGCAGCTAAGTTTAGAGCATCACAGCAATGTATAATAGGGGGTATAATGCCCCTATTACACCGCTCCATGACACCGCTCCATGACACGGTCTTCCATTGGAGTCCTGTCATGGAAATTACACGCACAATACTGATGATGCGTGTCATGGAAGATGCTGTGGGACCCAAATGACAGGACAACACCAGCAAATGTTCAAATAGCCAAAATGAGACGGCATTTTACTTGGTTATTTTTTGAATCATTTTATGACGGTTATTTTTGGAGCCAACCATTTTACAACGTCCTTTTTTTTTTTACAATGGCTATATTTTAGCAATGGATAATTTATTTTACTTCCTATAAATACACAAAGTAATTTCACCTCACAATCTTCTACTCCATTATCTCTCGTACTCAATTTTGGTGACTCAATTTTTAAAAACAATATGTATTTATTCACTAAACTATCAACCATTGAACTAAGTTTAGTGGCTACTACCAAAGCCTTAAGACTTGGTGGGGTGACCTCCCACCATTTGCCACACCATTTGCCACTAAATGTGGCAGGCCACTTCAAGTGGCTATGCTGCCCGGTAGGTGGTTCAGTTCCCTCCGATTTCTCTTAGGACCTCTTTAGATTCCCCCTCCCATATAGTATAGAATAAATGTAGATCTATCGTATCCAATAAAAAAAAAAACTAAATTATCATAAGGATAAATTTTGAATCATTCTGTCTGTTTCCATTGTCAAGTCGGTCACGAATCACGAAACATAATTGAGTAACAATTTAGTAAACATAGAATGTATTTACCTACTAAACTATTGTACGAGTATGTATTTAACCACTAAACTATCGTGTGATTATTTATTTACTCACTAAACTATTGTGCGAGTCTCTAAATTTGATAGAGTTAACAACAAAAATAGACGGAATGGTACCTAAATTCTATACTTTTCATAATTTAGTGAGCAGATACATACTTTAAAAGTTGAGTGACCAAAACTCTACTTTTTTAAAACTTTTTAGTGAGCAGCCGAGTAATTTGCTCCGCTAGAATCTGTGTGCACCTGCATATTTATAGCCTAACTGGCTAATTCTTGTGCTAATTACAAGTTAATTATTGAGTTTGTACCCTTTCAATGTTCATATTAAAATTATTACCTCCCGGCTTGTGCTGATATATGGTAGTACTATTACATTTTCAAGTGCTGATTAGTACAAGTGTATTTTTAAAATTTCTAATCCTGTTATTTATCTTTCGACATGCCAATACTTGCGCACTTGGGCAACCAAGGCAGATGAGTCATAAGACAGGGGCGGATTTAAGGTGAAAGGCCCCACTGCCCCTTTAAATTCATATAATACTTATACAATTTTGATATACTTTTGAATGTGCCTCCAGAGTTTTTTTATAAAAAATGTGAAAGAATGGGTCACAAAATTTAGTTTAGTTACTTATATTGAGAAAAATATATTTCGTGAAATTCAAAATGAGAAAGTTGTAAACCGTTATCAAAATAGAAAAACTTGTCGTGAGCAATTATAAATAGTTTAATTTATTTTTAAAATAAAATTATTATTACATTAATAATTTTGAGTTTGTCTTTTTATATTTTTTATGAAATATTATTTGTACTTATTGGTGAATTTATTTATTTATTTTTGTTTAAAAAACTAGAAAAAAGAGTAGATAAAAAATTTTAGGATTATTTTTGCTCCCACTAAGATTTTTTTCTGGCTCCGCCACTGCTGCTCGATGCAGTTGCACAAGAAGACAATCCAACATTGTTATCAATCGTTATCAATGAAGGAAGCATGAATAGAAGGCAACGAAAGGATAAGCTCTTTCGAAGTCAACAAAAGGATAAGCACTTTCAACATCAAACAATGGTACATCTAATTCTAGATGTCAAAATAAACCAAGCAAAAGCCAATTCAGAACTCGAAAAACTAAGTAGGATGCCAAACCACTGGTTCTTTTATCCCTCAGTTAAAAACCAGAAGGTCATGAATGTAAAGCAGTGACAGCAACAATCTTCATGCTTGGCCCAAATTCATCTTTCAAGAGAAGGAAAGGTATAGTGTCACATGCACCCCAATGCAGGGGGGCATGTATCTGTTGCAAGTGGTAACTTCTAAGGCGGAGTCCTGAACAAGAGGATTTCCTGGCCTTCTAGCGTAGGCTCGCCGTCAAGGAGAAGCTCTGCACAATGTTTTTGTCGATCAGATCAGTCAGGGGAAAGAGTCGGTGCAACAGAAACAAAAAGCCTAGTGCAAAGACCGAGTTCATTTTCTTATTTGAGCTTCAGAACGACAATATCCAGTTACATGTGCCCAGTCCACATGCACAAAAATGATTATATCAGACTCCAAGAGAGGCCTAAAATCCCTATCTTGAATCCTGCATAAAAAAAAGGAAAAATCATTAGCAGCTTGAAGTAGAAAGTTCAGACCATTTGCATCAGAAAGAAAACACGATAGCATAGATTAAAACTTTATGTCCTTGCCTGGAAAAGAGATGATCCAAAGCAACGCGGAAAAATGAAAAATGGAAGAAGCCTATGCTCGATCTTTTAGTTGAGAAAATCTGAACTTGCTAGAGATGTGCAGGTAGATCTAAGAAAGCTTTTAGCCGAGCATGAACGATGGTCTTTGACAATACAGCACATACTGATTTTGTGCCCTCAAAAAGCTGTTTATCTTGCCAATGTCCTCATCCACGATATCGTTGCATGACAAGTTATGAAGTAGCAAGTACATAATTGTCGAAAAATTTCAACTTACATCGTAGGGTCACTACTAACAGTGGCTTTTACCTTCAGGGCTGGGCAAAGCACTGGAACCAAAAGAAAGTACCAATTAACAAAACTTCCATTTATCAATTGTGCTTACCAGAACTCAAATAGTAACTAAATATCTTTCTGAGAACATAACGTATGGTGCTTTTAACATCGAAAGTAAAACTACGATGTTGCCTGCAGGGTAGACCTGCTCTAAACTAGACCTCAGCTCACCAATTTTGAACGTATTGTGTATTTGATGGGCCTGTTATGTTAAAGCATCCTTTGGATCATCAAAAAAGAAAGACTTTAAAAGCTGTTCTGCCAACTATTCCAGGACCCCAAAAAGAAATTTTTTTTTATAAGATGGTTCCACAGATTGAACAGCAGAAAATCTGTCAAGAAACAATTTCCTGCTCCTTAGCCAGCAGACAAAGAACAGTGTAACCTCCACATGGATGACATCAAGAAGAAATTGTGTGTTAGACTCGAGTACATTAAGCATCATGACACAGACAACAGCATGTTGCTAGTGAAGATCAAGATTGGTAACTAAAGCAGTTCTGATCTGACAGATTGCCAAGAAAGGATCCAGTTTACCATTTGCAGCAAATGATTGCTGATTCAAATACCTTACAATATGATTTAGATAGCAACAATAGTGGTATCATCATTAGGTCTGCACAAGTTTTATGAAAAAAGCAAAGTCCATCTTAAAAACAAGTTAATAGCTTTACAGGCCAGCTACATTACCAATAATAGCACCTGATTCAAAAAGAAATGAGGCAGGGAAAAGCAATACAAGGTGGCTAGTCAAAAATGTGAAGAAGCTCTTTCCTATTCTCTATAAAACTCAATTTAACATTTGAATCAGGAACAAGTTTTACAGAGTAATATCCAAAATGATCTCATTAGAGTAATATCCAAAAAGATCTCATTTGTTTACTTCTATAGATAGCTCATGTTGCTGAACAAGCAAATCACCATTTCATGAACAATTTGAAAATTGGATACCAACCAACCAACAATAAGTCTTCAAAGAAATTTCCAATGTAACCATCGACAGCTTCATTAAGATTGAAACATCATACAATAGTGGTCCCAAATGCAAACAGTTACAAGAAGGGTTCTGACTTCACGTGGCATCGGTCAGTAAGGTAGATTTCAAGAACGGTTCTGACTTCACGATGTAGATACATGCAACAAACCACACTCAACAAAAGCTATTGTCCCACACTGGCTAAGATAAGCAAACTGAAGTTGTTCTTCAAATTTGCGGTGTTCAGGGCCATGCTCACAATCAACTCATATTTTTCCTTTATCCTCTTTAAATACCTCATTACAGTCTCTTTAGTATCCATTTACTACTTGAGCCATAGAAAGAACACTTCTTCACCTTTGATTTGTCAAAGTATTTATTTTCATTACATCAATTGCAACATATATCAACAAAAACCACTTTGGAAACAGTTTTCCAATTTAGTTCTGCATAGGCTCTTATTATTACAAATTACCCTTAATACTTGTATAGTCCAACCAGTAAATCAATTTCTTCGCACGCATTTTCTAAATTGAGATTTATAAGGAAATCACATGCATAAAAGAAGAACCCAGTCAAGTCGAAGTCTCACTGAAAAGTTTATGCAAGGTTAACATAACAAACAACTTGATTTTGGTTTTTGATTAACCCTTTGAAATTTTAGCAATATGTACATACCTTATATATGAAACAGAATTCTTTTGAGAAGAGAAGACCACATAATTCTAACTTTCCAGGTAAATTGTCAATTCCACCGTGTCAGAATTGGGTTATAAGATAAGTCTATCTTGGCATGGAAATGACTTCACCATTTCTGCATTCTCTAATATAAATAGTCATTGTCTCATCAATCGGTGATAAAATGTCACAACACTGACGTCGAGGTGCCTTCAACTGACATGAGAAATAAGAATCACCACTCCCACAGAAAAATGTAAAATTAAAAAATGAAGAAGAATAAGGCATAGGACGGTTCAACTTTATGAATGAACATTAGAGAATACCTCCTCAATATCATAGTCCATCATCTTCGAGAAAACCCTGATGGTTTCCAGTTTCTGTACTGCATTAATCCTCACACAACTTCCTATATTATGTTTAGTATAGTTGGTCCAAACACTGCTATCTTTAGAAGCAACACTATCCATGAAAAAGACGACTGGCCTTTTGCACTGATCCCTAGGAGTTTCTCTTATGTTAAACATAAAATGGCTAGAATAGACACTTCTAGTCCTACCCCAAGGCCTAAAGGTTCTCTCCAATGAGATAAGATCTGGAAGGAGCTGACGTCCTTCAAAAACTTGAACAGCAAAACCCCATGATATGGAGACAGTTAATGAATTGAAGGGCTCATAGCAGACAGTTTGCTGCAAAATCCTTGGAGAATCAGCATTCACAGCTTTGAAAAGATGCTGCAGAGCCTGAATCCTGTTCATGCCGGGAAAGATAGGGTCCGCAGCATCCATATGATGCAGTGACAAAAGAGGCGATAATGGATGTGCCGCGAGCATGCCAAACAGATCTCCTCGAACATCAATCTGAAAACAACAAAATTTCTTAAATTTAACATACTGGTATTAAAAACTCAATCACTTTAGCTTAAAACATAGTGTGTAAGTTACTTGACATACGTCTGAGTTCATGTACACTTGTACCAGACCCCAAAGCTTCAGACTTTTGACACAACAAACAGATACGTACAATCATATACAAGAATAGTGTAATATAGTGCTTAGCTTCAAATCAAATCAACATTATGTCTATCAAAGGCTAACAATATGCACATATATGTCCAAAGACAAAGAACATAAGACTAGTGGGAGAAGACAATAACAACTTCTACAGCCCATGAGTTCAGTTTTATTGTGTCAGTTTCTTAATCTGCAGAGTGCATAGAGCAGTAAATGACATCATCAATGACATCATACATCACTTAAATGTATATCCATGAATAGCCATCAGCAGAATAACACAACAATTTCAATTGTTACAACATTTATATCCAACACCAAGTATATCAAATAAACAATGCACTCATCAGGAAACTCTTTGAATATATTACTTTTAGTACACTGGAATATACACACTGCAGTCATTAAGTCAAGAAAGGTTCAAATTGTCTTTTAACGAATCAGGACAGTTATTATCTATGACGAGCAGGAACACCCCTTATAAACTTATCAAGAAACAAAAAAGTCATTTCACCAGCTTTGTTAAAGCAGCTACCAAACATTCAGCATAATTCCTATGATGACTGTAAAAAGGAATAAAAAGAAAGAGACTAAACAAACAATGATAATCCAGCTCTGTTTTTCGTTACTACATAATGGTTAAAGCTCTCCAAAATCTTATGAAACTGCAAAAATCTGTCAACTCAAAACTACCACCTTTCCCCTTCTTTACTCTTCTTGCTAAATTTCTGACCAACATCAAGCAGCCACTCCCCCACACTGACACAAAGCATAATTGAAATATGAATCGCAGACAAATATACAAGAAGAGTAAACAAAAAGATTTGTTTGTCCTGCAAGATGCAATTCCCAACAATAAAAGTAATCATTAGAAAGAGTTTAATAGATTTATGTAGTTGTAACACATTTCTCCCTTAACCAATACATTCATTCATATAAGACAATTAGCTCATGACCACAAATGGTCACATATTTCCTAAAGTTTATATGTGAGGAACAACTAGTGATAAAGCAACTAAAATGAATTATGATTACGATCATAAAAATGAAAAAAAGCGATCACTTTTGACCTGATGAAACCCAGGTTCGCGAGTTAAAGGAACTCCCAACTCAGCCAAGCAAGCAAAAATCCTCTGATCACTCCCATAATAATGAGGGTACCGAGTCAAGCAAGAATCCAAAACCTCAGCTAAAACCCTTGCTAAAGGTGCACTCAATGCAAATCCTCCACCTCCAAAGGCCATATCAAAAGAAAATTTCTGATTCTGCTCATAACTTTCTGAGCCAAACCCAACATAAAACCACTGATTATGATCATATTTAGACAAAACAAGCGCCAAATTACGGGGAAAAAACACGGTATCATCATCACAGAAGACGAACCATCTGACATGGGGAGGGGGCTTGAGGAGGGTGAAAACATCTTTCACTGTGTAAGCAATCCTAATGGCAGAAGGGTTGCCTCTAGGGAAGGTGTAGGGGAAGTGGGAAGTGTCAGAAGAGAGAAAGACTGGAGGCAGGGAGAGGGTTGATGATAGCGTGAACAGGGGATTCTTATCCAGAAAAAGGTAAGTGTTTGGGGTGGAGTTGGGGGAGAACCAGAGGTGGATGTAGGGGGTGCGGTGGGGGAGGGAGGTGGAGGAGGAGGAGATGGAGAAGAGAAGGTGGTGGGAGAAGGAAAGTGAGATGGTCGGAGGTGGCTGTAGTGGTGGTAGGAGGGTGAAGGGGTGGTGGAGGAGGAAAAGGAGGTGGAAAATGAGGAGAGCAAAGAGGAGTAAAAGAAAGTCTTTGATTCTGGAAATTCTGGGCATTGCAATTTTCACACATTTCACACACAAATGGATGAAAACAGGTGATCGAAAGCATAAAAATACTGAATCGATGGAGAAGTTCAATGCTGTGTAAATTGTGATTAAGGAAGATAAGATAGGATTACAGGAAAAAGACGGTGACGAGAAAAGCAAATAAAGATTGCATCGTAGGATGATAGTTATCTAATCGACAAAAATTACTCCATAGGAGCTTCAGTTATGGCTGCACTTGTACACTAGTACTTGTTTAGCTATATGGAATACTCAATAACTATTGATTTCTACCCACAATGTATCGGTTATATATGTTTAAAGAAAATGACAATTTATGATGTTAAAAGTTTTTTCCTTAAAGAAATTTAAGACAAAAAGGTCAGAAGAACAAAAAAGGAAATAAGGAAGATGTTTTGATCCGAACATTTCCATGCGTTTATAAAAAAACACTTTTAAATGCTAAAAATATTTTTAAAATTAATTTTATTAAAAGCACTTGTGTCAGAAATTTTTTTTTTTAAGACATTATAGCCCCAAAGGGCCTTTGACTTTAAGAAAGGCATACAAATAGTAACATAAAATGGACTAGTAGATTCAGAAAAAATAATGTGAATTTACATCTTACTCTATTGATAGGAGTTTGTATGGGTATCTTTTTTCATTTTTTGCTTCTCTCGGGGTGTTTATTATGTATAAATTGCTTTATGAACTCCTGTGCTTCCTTGGTATTTATGTGGCATAACTTTTGATGTAAATAGTATAAACATTTAAGATTTTAATCAAAACAAAAGAGTACTCAAGAATTTTCTTATGAAGTCTAATTTAATGAAATGAGTGTTGTCAATTTTCGTTTGAGCCCTCTTTCATGTAGTTGTATCAATTTTGTACCATTATACTTTGGCATATCTTGTTCCACACCCAAAAGAAGTTTGCCAACCCCCGACTCCCCTCTTCTTTGTTAAAATCCATTTTATATTTGAAGGATTAAACTGATCACACTAGAATGAGAAGGACTAAATCTCCATATTCCACTTCCTAATTAACCTTAATTTATTTCTTAAACCAATGTATACTTTAACGTACTTAGGTACACTTGTGGAGACCAACAATTTTGGTGCTTCAAAGGCCTTCCTCAGTCGTTTCAAAGAACATTCATGCAAGTTGTTGCTGCCTTGCAATTGCTTTTATACTTTTTGACAAGGCTAATCAAATTGGGCAAGGCTAATCAGCTTTCAAGGTACAAAAAGCTGCACTTTCTATCTAATCCTCTTTACTTGATGTACATATTACTCCTTGGTTGATATCTTTCTGGTTTTTTTTTCCCTGTGGTTAAGCATCATGTAATCAGTACTGTAAAGTTTTTTATTTACTACTGCTATATAATGTAGATAGAGGTGATAATGGCTATAAACTGGAAACCAATTTTTCCCACAAAAGAAATTCATTTTCCAAAATAATAAACTTTTGGTGTACATGTTTCCCAAAGACGTGCGCCTGGTCTGCCATGTATTTCTCTTAGTTGCCTCAAAATGAAGTTAATTTTCTTAATTTTGAGGAACTTCCCATGCTTCCTTGCATGATCGGCTCCCATGATTTTTGAGAAAATATCCATACTCACACCTTGCTGGATGTGTGAAAAAGTTTTTGTATCTTTCTTCCTATGCTCATTGAGTGCCTTTAATTCTTGATTGGTGAGACGTTCATCACTTTCCCATTATTTGTAGCCATTATATACATATTCCAATAACTCTTTGTCATTTCAATTGTTCTCATTTTCACATACCAATGGTCATAGTACTCACCAGAGAGTATGAGAATTGGAGGACCATCACTAGTATAATTGGCCATCTTGTATAGTTGAAAATCTCTCAAAATGGAGTCATAGCTCCGGTGCAAGGATGGAGATTAACATAGAGAATAGAAAAATAGACCTGTGAGTAGCTTGATAAAAGAAAGACATAAGAAATTTCAGCTCTTTTAGTGAACATGAAAGATGCAATTTTTTCCAAGCAGAGGTTATTTAACACTAACAAGATTTCAAACATCTGAGGAAATAATTAACACAGGAAGACATGGAACACGGAACTGGGAAGAGGAGCAACAACCAGTCGGTGATGAAGGGAAAATGCTGGACTGATGGTTGAGAAAAGAAAGTAAAATAATCCCAAACCAGACTAATGGGAAGAGAAAATGGATCAAAACATACAACTATCCCAATAAAGATTCTAGGTTGGTTCTTGTGTCAGAATGAGTTGGGAATTAGGAAAGCTCACAAAAAGATGCTTCTTTGCAGATCGGCTGGCTGTGGGATCACCTCGTTAGGCCCAGGTCGTGTGGTGGACTCTGCCCTTGTTAACAATCTCTGGCTTCTGGGTGGTGCGGGGTTAGGGCCCAGTGGAGGACTAGTCGGTTGCCAATGCAGTCGAATACCCCACTGAAAGGAAAAAAAAAAAAAAAAACTTTGCAAATTCAAACAAGACTTTGCATTTTTTTTTTTTTTTTTGCATTGTGAAATACGTTGGGACCAAACAGTTTTATTACGTCAAAAACTTCTCTACATGACCGACCAATTCATGTATCTTATCGAGGATTCATCCTGCATAACCGACTTAATGTAGAAACAAATATTACACCAAGTGGGTCTAGATGCTAAAAGCATAAACACATATCGTCTTTATAATAAGAACAAAGGGATTTTAGCATTACAGCAGTACCATTAGTTGATTATGATTAGCGGGGAAGTCAGTCCTAGATAACAAGAAAGGGATTTGTAAGTAGTGTGTCGTTATTTAGAGGATAGTAATTAAATAGTAAAAATTAAACTGAGGAGGCCCTTTAATAGGAGTGTTCGAAATTTGAGAATTTTGGATTGAATTTTATTTGGAGAATGAGTTCAATGACTGAACCAACCAAAGGATGTAAGTGCAAGTGGAAAGGATTTGTATCCATTAATCAGGAGGTTTTCGGCTTGAAACCCATGAATATGGAAAGAACAATGTTAGAAGAAGTTACTCCGTAAAGGGTTCAACCAGTTCGAATAGGATTAGTTACTGACTATAAAACGAATATCGATACTTGTGGTTTATACCAAAAAAAAAAAGGTTGAGCCAGCCTGATTTTTTTAAAAGTACCATAAAAAAATGAAGGGGCAACTTTCTAGTATTAATGGGGTTGTAAAATGATGTCTAAATCTAAGATGCAAATAGTCCATAGTTCAGATTGTAATATATAAAATGTAATGCTGGCCAAAGAAATATGTCTTAGAAACTTTTCTCTACAAATGTCAATAGAAATTTGTCTTCCATCATTTATGAATAGCCTAAAAGTAATATCCTTTTATGCATTAATGCTCAAATCACAGTTCTTTTACATTTTTTTTCTAGATAGTAAATGTATTGCCAAATAGAATGAACAATTAGGGCAAGAGATGTCCTCTTGCTGCAAATTAGGGCATGATAGAAGGATATATCTAAGTAGTGTGTCGTTGTTTGTAGGACAGTAATTAAACGGTAAAAAATAAATTAAGGAGGCCTTTTAATAGGAGCGGTTGAAATTGAAAATTTTGGATTGAATTTTAAAAGAGGAATGAACCATTGGTTCAATAGTTGAACTAGCCTGATTTTTTCCTAAAGTACAACATAAAATGAAAGAGCAACTGTCTAGTATTTATGGGTTCAAGAGCATGTTTAAATGTAGAAGCAAATGGTCCATGGTTCAATCAATCTCAAAAATCAACTAGGTTATCTGGTTATGTTTTAAAACAGTGTCAAAACTACTTTTATATACTTCTTTCTTTTTTATCCAAAGTATTACAATTGCAAACTCTACCCTTTATTTGTGTGGCTGATATTCAACCAAAATTTTCGCAAGTCAAACTTAAATGAGGAGGAAAGTCTAAATAGACTAAGATGCGTTTTATCAGATTGGAAAAATTGAAATTTAAGTCCTCAATCACATGTTTTAAATTCATAAAGCCTTAGACTTGGTGTACTCCTACCATGTCTTGTATGCAATGGTAGGCTGATTACTAAATCTGGATCGAAGGAATGGATTATCCTATCCTTCCTCGTAGGTTACTTTGGAAATAGTCATTAGAATCGTTAGACATTATCTGATTCTTCAACTTTTATTTTCCCTAATTTACTTGGAAATAGTCACACAAAAAATGAAAATATCGCATACAAATGGACCCTTCTAATATTGTAGACTTCTTTTTAAGGTCTTGTGAAATTTCATCAATCATTTCAAATCATAGTTTTCTTGTCAACGGTAATGTTACATCTGAAAGGGAACAACAACATTAGTGTAATGGTACAGAGCCAGTTTAAGGCAATGGTGATAGATTTATTGCAGGAATCAGTGAATCAGTGCTTAACAAAATGGAATGGGATTGGAAATGAAATGATTTGGTAATTCAATTTCTTAATATGAATTCGGTAAATGAATACAGAACAGAAACAATGGATTCAAAGATAGAAGGGGAGAAGAAAATGAAGGAATAAACGTGAGGGGGAGGAGAGGGAGATTGGCAGAGCCAATCTTTCTTTACAAGCAATTGAATGATGACAAAAACTTACCTATCACTAAGATTTCCTCTGCTTTTATGGTTTTTTCCCAGCTAACTAACTTCTAAACTAACCAATGAGTTGAGGACAAGTGGATTCTAGAATAATCCGCCCCACTTGTTCATAACAGAAGCATAATCCTGTTTTGAGCCAGTGAAAGCGTGTTTCCTAAATCACGCCTTTTCTTTCTTGGATTTGATCAATCACGCCTTCCTCGTGCCATAGACCACGCCTTCGCCTTTCTTCAAGCTAAACTAGAAGAACTTCCTGCGAATCCTCTGCACTCCATGACAGTACCCCCTCCTTTACAAATATCTTGCCCTCAAGATTGAAACTGAGGGAACTGCTTCTCAATTTCTTCAGCGAATTCCCATGTTGCCTCTGCTGGATCTGTTCCCCACCAGTGAATCAGCCATTGCACAGCAACAGCATTCCCTTTCTTGACTATTCTCCTGTCCAACACTACTACGGGTTCTACCCTCAAGTGCCCCTTTCCATCAACTTCTGGTAACTGTAGAATGGGTGTAGTCTGCTCTCCAATCTTTTTCTTCAGTAGTGAGACATGGAAAACAGGATGTATTTTGGATCCTGTTGGCAGCTTCAACATGTATGCAACCTCCCCAACCTTCTTTATCACCTCAAAGGGTCCATAGTAAC